TTTATATAACATTTGGGGGGGGGAGACGGATGGACGGACGATGACGACTTATTTGAAACTGCTTTGCCATTCAAGCCCTGCCGGTAGTGTCCATCAGCTTTTGCCTGCTGTGCCCACAGTTTTAGTGCCTCATCTCAGGTCCCCTCATGCCGACTCGCCCTGCAGAGCTCACGTGGGGCCACACAGGCAGGCTGGCCTTCCTGAGTTCCAATATACGGCCACCGCTACCCAGATGTCCCTCGGTATGAGTTCATCCATTAAAGTCTGGTCAGCCTATCTAGAGTCACCCCCATAAAGAAGATCTACTCTCCTTTACCTAGCAGTAATCAGTTGACAATAATTCCTTGGCTGGGGTTGGGGCCTGCTGCCCATTTCCCCAGTCTTATGTTGGGTTTTTATCTGATTGAGTAAGCCTTCATCTTGTGCTTGCTGTCACCATTGTTGCAAGTTGATATGAACAAGTTCACAGAGACCTGAAAGTCTGTTTGCTTAACTTCATGCACCAATCCTGGCTCCTAAAGTCTTTTTGTCCCCTGTTCCCCCACTGTCCTTGAGCTGTGGGTGGGTGAGATATATTTTTCTTGATATTTTGTGCATTTTATACAACACACCTTAATAATATTTCAACCCCCAATCCTACCTATAGCCTGCCCACGAGATTTCAAGCACTCTGTCATGTATGTTAAGGCCTATGGAGGCAAGTTTATGTACCCAGATGTCCCTCATTGTGAGTTCATCCACTGGAGCTGGTCAGCCTACCTAGTACCAGTCCCTTAAAGAAGTTCAGCTCTCACCCAGCAGCAATCAGCTGCCAATGGTTCCTCAGCTAAGGTTGGGACCTCCTGCACATATCCCCAGCTTTATGCCATCTTTTCTTTGATTGAGTTAGCATGGGTCTTCTGCATGCTGTCACCACTGCTGCAAATTCATAAGAGCAAGTGCCCAGAAGCTTGGAGGACTCTGTTTCCTTATGTTCATGCACCACCCTGGCTCTTACACTCTTCTGACCCTCTTCTGCAGTGGTCCCTGAACCCTGGGTGGTGAGTTTTAATATGAGTCCTATTCAAGGACATGAAATCTGCAATCTCTTATTCTCTACATATTGGCCAGTTGTGGCCTTTTGTGTTCATCGTGCTTTGTTGCATGCTGGTCTAATAACCATGACAATGACTGTTACAGCACACTGTATTAGTGCGTAATGGCACTTTTATTTGAGGGGGGTGATCAACAGCTATCTAATTGGTCTTAAAGCCTGCTCAATGGAAGGGAATACACATGTGACAGTGTAAACATAACTAAATACACAATTGGAAAGGTCATAGAGCCCAGAGTAGGATTTTCTAATGTCACGTCTCTAGACAAACATTTCTTACTATATACTAAATAACAGTCACCACTCATCAAAGAAGCAGTGTGGAAGGAAGGTATGAAAATAGTAGGGAGGGAAAACAGAATGATGTAGATGCATGACAATCAGCAATTAACTAAAATAACTCTCAGTGGGCATAGGAAATATGAGACAGCTGTGTTTTCTTCAAATTTCTTTGCTACTCTGGGAGTGGGAAAGAGAACAAGTCAAAGAAAAATGCTTGGTAGCTAGTTTTCAGGTGAGGTGGAAGCACTGGGTGAACCTGCTTGCCTCAGTGTCTGTCCAGACCCTCCTTGGATCCAATTGCAGCTGTCAGTGCTCCTTCTAGAGGTGGAGGTGCTATTTCTGAAAGCAGGTGTCTGCCTTTTCCCTCTGTAGGACAGCCTGTACGTTTCCACACAGAGATCTTTTCCTCTGAACCTACATCCAAAGAATAACAATTCACCTGGGTCCTCACTGAATTTCGGTGATTTACTGGTCTAGCTAATGAAGAATCTTTAAGATGGGGAAGAAATACAATTGCTCTGGACCCAAGTTCTTCCCCCACACTTAAGCTTTGACACTAAAACTCCTACAAGTCGGTTCTTTGCCATGGCTCCAGGAGCAAACAAGGACGAGCAGGGCGCTCTTCTTCAGCATCTTCCTGCTGTGTTCATTGAAGACTTTTTCTTAGGTTATCTTTTTCAGAACAGCATTTTGTGTCTGTGGTGTTTGTACAGTTTCAGCTCCTTTTTTGCTTAAACTACTACAATATGGGCATTTTCCCTTCCCTCCTGTGCCCCCAACGCATGCTATTAAGGATTTTATATATTTCAAACATGTAAAGTACAGTGTTCATGAATTTCATTTGGTTTCTGTCATTTACTATTGTGCTTCCAGCCTTTACCTGACACCTCACCATGAAGCCTTGCACCTATTTTTTTATCTGGCCTCAATTTGCTATTTCCTCATCTTCTGTGTGTACCAGGTTTCAGTGTAAGACCTATCAGTGTTTCCACCTCTGCTGCTTCATCTGTTCATGTGAATGATGATACTACTGACCTCAGATGATGATTTGGAAGATCGAAATGAATTAATCACATAACCAGCTTCAGCTCTTCTCCTTAATGTGTTGATTCTTGTTTACCAACTGAACTCTGAATAAGCATCTTTTAAAAATAATTTTTACTCAAAGGCCTTCGTAAATGAACATTGAAATAAAATATTTCCATTCTTTTAAAATAATGTCTTAAAATATAAATTGTACCTAAAATTACTTGTGTGATGTGATATATAAGTTTATAATGCGCACCAGGTAGGAATTAACTTTATCTTCCCCTGTAGATATTCCTGTGACATAATACCTTCTACTTACCCCATTGAGACTTTTCTCTCTGTCGTTTTATTCCTGAAAAGTGTTAGAAATTCAGTTCTGCCCAAATCTCATGCCTGAGCTATGGGCTGAAAGTCTTCTAAGTGATCATTACAACCATTCATTAGAATTCCTGGGTAGCAGAACTGACAGTATCTATCATTAGCCATCTCAGCAGCATAAAAGCATTTCAAAAATGCTAGAGAGTTCCACTTAAGGACTCATTAGTGATGATACTTTATTCATCCTGTACATGTGCTTTCTGATATTGTTTAAATATTTACAGAACATTTTTCAAAATTTAAAAGTACTCCTGTGCTTATGATTCATTTACCCGTTTGTTAAATATGACTTTTTACTGTGCACTGTGCTCCCCACAGAGAGATGGACACTTGTAACATGGAAACACTGCACGGAAAGGCTCTTGATATGCTCTAAGATTTCTCTGCTTCCTAGTTTCTCAAATTTGAAATGTAGAGTCAGCCATTCTAGCCTAACAGGCCTGGCTGTTCTAAGTAAGAATGCCTTTTTAGTAAGAAGTGACATTTCCAAAAGACTCTGAAATAAGACAGGCTATTGCCACAGCTCTTGACTGCCTTCCAGAACTTGACAGTAAGGCCCTGTTGCTGAAGATAGGAAATACGGTGCACACAGGACTTGGAGCAATCGAACTGGAACTGACCTGGAAGCCTCCTTCTAGAAGACTAGTTCCCATAGTATCATAAGATACCATATAAGCTTCCAAAGACAAAATCCAGTCAACGATCCCATCCTGTCGTAAAGTCATGAACCACAACGACTGGCCCAGTAATAATCTCTACTGGCACAGTAGTACCAATTTTATCTTAGGCTTAATCAACAGCTGTCTAATTGGACTCAAGGCCTTTTCAATGGGAGGGAACACATGTATGGTACTGTAAACATAATCAAAAACATGTCTGGACTTGGCCTTTACCCTAGAGAAAATCTACTTTTGTTACATCCCTAGACCAACCTAACTTCTTATTAAATTTTAAATACATATCCTTATATTTATAGATAAATATACCTCTAAGCACTCATCAAAGAAGCTTAGTTTTGCAACAGATGGAGACTATTACAAAGTTCCTATACTGGTCAAATACAGAGAATAATACAAAAACAGGTCTAGCCCTGGGTGATACATGTACAACACAACCACTGTACCTAAGGCTCAGGGGACATTGTGGAGCAGGGAGCAGAAAGAATGTTACAGCAGCTCTCAGCTCTCACCAGAGAAGCTTCCTCATGCAACATATTTGGATTAATTCAGAAAGTCGTAACTCACCTAATTGTGTTTATCCATAAATAGGACACCTACAGCAAACCTCTGTCACCCAAGACTCAGGCACCATTATGGAAGGAGGGAGTGGAAAGCCTGTAATCAGAGGTGGTTGATGATCACAATGAAGCAGAGTTTTCCACACAACTATGAAGTTACTCATGTGAACTTGCAGAAATGGAAACAACATTCACAAGACCCACACAAGCTCGGGCCAGACAAAATTGTAGAATAGAGATGGAGAAATGGGTAAGAAGTCCTAAACATCTGAGAAACTGTTAGCAACCCATAACTCTTAGGCAAGGGAGAGTTGAGTTTCTTTAACGGACTGATGCTTAGTAGTTTACCCAGTCTCCTGTGGATTGACCCACACTGAAGGAAATCTAGAGACACAACTTGTCTCCATTAGCCTTAATAAATATGAAAGAGTATGTAAAAGGGGGCAGCAGAAGTTAGAAAAGGGGTGCAGGTAGGGGCAGGAGTCTAAATATGATCAAAACACATTACATGGAATTCTTAATTAAATTAAAAACTAACATTCCCTCTATGACTAATATTCATGATTTCTATTATTTTCCCATTTGATAGCTTTCTCCAACTGAAAGAGGTTGACCAGTGGTCAGGCTGTGACCTACATGTTTCTGTATGTGAAAAGAAACATGAGCCTGAGAACAGAAAGAAAATTGGATTTAGAATTCTGACTCTGTAAGGGCTGTATTGGGGACATCAACTGCTTCAATAGCCATACAAAATATTGTTTGTAAATATCCAAAATAAGAACAAATTGAATTTAAAATAAATTTCTAGAACTTTTGGGGGTTGATGAATTACTTCAGTCTCTATGACCCTGTTTCCTTGTCCACTGTAAAACAGGGTCAGTCATTCCTACATTACAGAGTGTTCCAGAGAATCAGAGATTACACGGAATGCATTCATGTCTTGCTTTACTTTTCAGGACCACTACTGAAGAGTTCAGAAACATGTATCCAACCATCCCAGCCTGGGGCACTGAAATCACAACACTGAATGGAAGTGACCGCAGTCTAACTCCACGTTGTGAAACTGTGAGCCCTACTCTGAGTTTTCTTACCTTCATCATTGCCCTGCATGGGCTGGCCGGAAATACCACAGTGCTGTGGTTTTGGGGCTTCCAGATGTGCAGGAATGCCTTCACTGTCTACGTCCTCAACTTGGCAATGGCTGACTTCCTCTTACTCCGTCTTCATATTGTATTCTCCATAGAGGGCATCATTGACCTCATCCTCTTGACCTCCATCCACATCCCTAGTGTTTTAACTGTTATTTTCAGCTTTGCTTACCTTGTAGGCCTGAGCATGCTCAGTGCCATTAGTGCTGAGCACTGCCTGTCTGCCCTGTGGCCCATCTGGTACCTCTGCAGGCATCCAAGACACACATCAGCTGTCATGTGTGTCCTGCTCTGGATCTTGTCCTTGTTCTTGAGCCTCCTGGAAGGGAAAGGATGTGGCTTTCTATTTAAGGGTTTTGGATCTGGGTGGTGTCAGACATTTGATGTCTTCAATGCCTCATGGGTGATTGCTTTGTTTGTGGTTCTCTTTGGGTCCAGCCTAGCTCTGATGGTCAAGATCTTCTGTGGCTCAAGGCAGATTCCTGTGACCAGGCTGTATGTGACCATTGCACTTATGGTTCTGGTCTTCTTTCTTTATGGATTGCCCTTTGGGATCAAGTGGTTCATCTTAACGTGGGTTGATAGTCTGTATTATAATGTCCCTTGTATTATTCATCATGTAATTATCTTCCTGTCCTGTGTTAATAGCTATGTCAATCCCATCATTTACTTCTTTGTTGGCTCCATTAGGCATCGCAGGTTCCAGCGAGGGACTCTTAAGCTGCTTATTCAGAGAGCCCTGCAGGAGACTCCTGAAGAGGAAGACTGCAGTGGTCAGGTCTCTTTGGGAAAGCCTAGAGAACTGGAAACAGTCTTGTGCAGCAGCTGAGTGCTCCTTTGACCAGTCAGAAGTGACTTTGAAAACAAAATCTTCCCCTATTAGGGAGGGCAATTTTCATAACCTGGTTAAGTTGGTCACCTGGCCTTAAATCAGTTAGGAAAGTAATTATTCTTTTGTAACTTGGGCAATACAGGTCTTCTTAAGAAAATACTGTGTGGGGTGTGGTGGCACATGCTGTTAATCCCAGCATTTGAGAGACAGAGTCAGAAGGATCACTGTGAGTTCTAGGCCAGCTGGAGTTACAGGGAGACACTGTCTCAAAAAGATTTTTAAAAAGTATTGACTGCAATGTCTTTGAGACTGCCTTACTCAGAATTTCATGCTAACACCTTAGGATATAATCTCTAGGGTCCTGTGTTGCTCCCATGATTGAAAAATCCCTCCTTCAGCAGAAGGCAGCGCAGGAATGACCTGAATTTCTTTGGTCTCTGAATTCATACTGATAAAATGAATTTTTTGTATTTTTGTATCAATATTAAACAAATGAACTGGTGTTATTAACTGCAAAATCCCCTGGTTGGGTAGGTCCTAGCCTCCAGCAAAGATCCGAATTCTGTGGTTCTGCTACATTGGTATTGCGATAAACTTCCTTTTAGTTTTCATTTTTATATTCAGAGATTAATACAACTCTCAACTCATCAGAGAAGCTTCTTACAGTGCATGGTGATTAATATAAAGACACACAACTGGACAACTTGCAGAGAATAAGAGACTTTAGAGTCCTTGGGTCTAAATAGGAAATCTTTATCACCCTCTTTCCCCATAGGGCATAAGGTTAATCACAGAAGAGTGGGCTGAGTATTGTGAATGGACTTCTGTAATTAAGCATTACTACCTGGACATGACAGTGCCACCATACACATGAACTGACTGTGTTGTGATTGTACGCACCAGCCCTTTCCAAGATCAAGATCACTTAAATTTCCAAGGCAGAAATTTTCAAGGTGAGTGGGGCTCATGAAGTTCCACCACTCGATGAGAACTTGGAAACTTATGCCTGCTGGCAGAGGGAAAGTTCCTTTGTTTCAACAACATGGCCCTTGAGAAGCTACACGTTTCAGTGGATGACCTAACGCCCATGCACATAAATGTATGTGTGAATGCGTTCAATGGGTTAAAAAAATGAACAAATAAATTTTGGAATGAAAAATGTGACTGGTAAGGGGAGCAATTAGAGAAGACTGAAAGAGGAGTGGATTTGATCAACACACATTATATGAATGCATGAATTTATCAAGCATTAAGAAAGAACATGAAAACACATTGAGAGGAAATTGAATACAAGCAACCAGAGAAAATTAATCTCTACTTTCTACAGGTTTGGGAATATTTCTTTAGTTTAATACATGTTTCTTAAATAAATTAATTAGTAAAGAACTATAGTTTTTAAAAGAAAGACTTGGAGCAATAGTGGTACTTTTATCTGGGGGTAATCAACAGTTATCTAATTGGAAGTAAAACCCTCACAGAGAAGGAACTCATGGGTGGCCCTGTAAATGTAGCCAAATGCACATGGTTGGTGAGGTCATGGGTCCTACAAAAAACTCTATCTCTGTCGTATCTCCATACAAATGGAATTTCTTAAAGTATGCTAAATATCGATCCTTATATTTACAGACAACTATACCACACACCATCCATCAAAGAAGTTTCTTTTTGCAGAAGAAGTAGAGTATTACAGTGTTCCACAGCTGGTCACACACAGATAATATATTTCTGAGAGATTCCCAGCCCTAAGGCCCTAAGTGACACATCTACACTGGAACTTCTAAACCTAAGCCTCATAGAATATGCCAGAACATGGACTGAGAGAATACTAATACATCCCACAACTTTTCCCGCAAAGCATTCTCATACAACGAAGTGTGATGCAGGCGGAAGATCAAAACTGGCTAAGTTTTAGAAAACAAGAGACTGCGGAGTGCACGTCCTTGAATAGGATTCCCATATTAAACCTCACCCACCCACAGCTCAGGCACTTGTGGAAGAGAGGGTGGAAAGATTGTAAGAGCCAAGATTGATGCATGCTCATAAGAAAACAGAGGCTTTCAGGCTACAGAGAATTTGCTCATATGAACTTGCAACAATGGTGACAGCAAGCATAGGACCCATGGTGACTCAACCAGACAAAAATCTAGCATAGAATGCAAGAAATGAGCAGCAGGACCCAACCCTAGCCAAAGAAGTATTCACAATGGGTTAGTGATGGGTGAGGGAGCAACTCTAGATAGGCTGACTAGATTCCAATGGATGAACTTGCACCAAGGGAAATCTGGGTATCAGTACTTGACCAGAAAGGAATTAACACATATGAAAGAATGCATGAAATACCGTGAGAGATCCATGCAGGGGGGGATTGGGGTCTAAATTTAATTAAGATCCATTATATGAAATGAACAAAAATCTCAATAAATATGTAAAAGAAGAAAGCCCATTTTATATCTCCATCCAGCACTCTTCATTTTCAAGTTTATTGTTTCCATCGTTTTCAGAACTAGCAGGAATGAAGCCGTGTTTTATAATCAAATACACTATCATCCATGCATTAAAGCTTTGAGGCACACTGCCCTCATGTGGTTCACATTCACAGCACTTTGGTTGGCATTCCAAGGCCAAGTTTTCTGATAGATGCCCAGCCCTAAGGCCCTAAGTGATGATACATCTACAGTGGAGCTTCCACATCTAAGCCTCATAGAATATGCTGGAACATGGGTAGAGAGAATACTAATACATCCTTCAACTTTCACACTTCCACTTCTATCCCTTTACCGTTGTCCCAATTCTCCCTCTCTGTATTCCACTTTTAAAGCAATTATGCGACAGTTCTCTCCCTATACTTGCTCATTTTGTATAGCACATTGTGCTTTAAAGACATGTCCATTCAAGCCAGCGGTGAGGAGATCATCTCCTTTCATCAGTTGTTCCCTCACACCTGCTATACAGGACTGCCACAGCGTCACCATCTGCTCCTCTGTTGTGTATACCATGGCTGCTCCCACGCCATGAATATTGTGAAAAGTGCTTCAATAAGCATTTAAAACATGAAAAGCATGAAAAATGATTCCTTTTCATTAGTGGTAAAATGACATATCATTTCCATGATTTTATTTTAATCTGATATGTGTTCATTTTAAAGTGAGCATCTGCTCACATCATAAAGTCACATCACTTTAAGCTCACTGAAATTGTCTACTTTTGAACTGTCATTTTAGACCATGCATATTTAAGTCCATATTAAGTAGGAGGGTTAAATTCTATGAAACATGCAGCTCTTTTCTGTTTGATATACCTAACTGAGTTACTTTTGTAGTGTGGGTATTAAGCTTAAATTCTTCTGCCTGGCTGGCCAGTTCTTTCTGAATGAGCTAAACTTTCAGCCCTATGCAACACTTTGGTCTTTTTCAATCCAATTTACTTTGTTCTTCTCTGGTTTAAATTAAACATTTTATGTCATCACATTTTAATTTTGTTTTGATATATCAATTACACCACATTAAAATATTAATATATTCACTACACTAGAGTTTGCAATGTATATTTGAAATTAATGTAAGTCAGAATTAGAGCAGTAGTCTTTGTTGAGTGAGATCCTTAGATTATCTCCTCACAGGCACAAAGTTGAATAGATGCTCACACACTAAACCGAATTCACAACAGCTAAGGAAACAAGGTGAAAGGGCAGAGTTCCTGGCTGTACTGTAATTAGAGTATAACACATTTGGAAGAAAAGTTGCCCATATTCCTCTCCCTGAGCTCAGAGAAGGATAGGATGTAGAAAAATAACTCCAGCTATGGGGATGGGAAAGGGAATTACACCCAAGCCTTCTATTTGAGACCTCAAATAAAAGTATTTGAGGATGTACTACTTTTCTATTGCTGTGATAAAATTTCATGGCCAAAGGCGACTTAAGGAAGAGTTTATTTTGGCTTATGTTTCCAGAGGGAGAGTCCACAATGGGTGGGGAGGTATGGCAGCAAGTGGCAAGATCAAGAAGCAGAGAGTTCATATCTTCAATTATAAATGCAAGGTAGAGAGATTTGAACTGGAAGTTAGATGAGGCTATAAACTCGCAAAGTCTGCCCCCAATGACTACATTTTCCAGCAAGGCTAGACCTCAGAAAGATCCCATAACCTCCCCAAACAACACCACCAGTTGGAGATCAAGTGTTCAGTACATGAGGCTATGGTGTATACATTTCTAATTTAAACAACCTCATAGTCTTGCCATGTGAGCGCCAGTGCTCAACAAAGCTCCCTTGATTCCTACGTCCAAGTTGATAGCCACAATCCAAGACACTGAAGTTACAGTCACCAAATGCAAAATGACTTTTTCCAATACCTGTTCTCCACGGTGAGGTAGAGTGAGGTAGAGGGAGGAACAAAGTGCTGCCTACTGTGCAGAAGGCATCAAAGACAGCAGATGTGTGGAGCTCAGTCTTATGCCTTCTACAGTGGGATCCAGCACTAGTAGAAAAGCTCTGAACACAGGCCAGAACTGTTGACTGAGCTGCTGGAAAGCATCAAATTGTACATGTGCATTCAGTGCTGGTGGAATTGCAAACTCATGCAACCACTGTGGGAAGCAGTGTGGAGAACTCTCAAAAAACTGAAAATGAATCTACCTTATAATCCTCTTATATCACTCTTTGGTATATACCCAAAGGATTTGTCTTACTGCAAATATACTTGTACATCCACATTTGTTGCTGCCTTTTTTTTTTTACAGTAACTAATAAATGGAAACAACCTAAATGTTCCTCAACTGATGAGTGAAGATATGGTACATTTACACAATGGAGTTCTACTCAGTGGTAAGGAAAGACAAAATCATGAAATACGCAGGTAAATGGATGGAACCAGAAACTGTTTTACTAAGTGAAGTAACACACTCAGAAAAACAAGCAACATATATTTTCCATTTTCTGTTCTTAGCACTAATCCCTTATGTGAGTATACATATATATGCATATATATATATATAAAAAAA